AAAACCATACACTGGGACCAGCAGTTGGCGTAATGGCTATGTTGCTGGACTCCCTCCCATATAGTCAACCAGTCCCTGACCTAGTGGCTTAAACTCATGCCAGGCACGTGTGTGTGCACGTCCAAGATCCCAAGAGGAGAATGGAGGAGAAGGGATTGCAACGTGGCCATCCATCCCCCCAGGGGATGATTTCTCACTTTCTGTCTCTCTGTCTTTCTGGTGAGTGCGTGCGCTCTATAGCAAAAACCTCTAAAACACACACACATGCGCTCGGCACGTATGCATGTGTCCTCAAAATCCCAAGAAGAGAATGGGAGAGAAGAGACTGCCATGTAGCCATGCCCCTGGAGGGTGATTTCTCACTTTCCCTGTCTCTCTCTGTCTCTCTCTGGCATGTGCATGCACCCTGTAACAAAAACACTAAAAGGATGGGCTTATCCTAAGCCTGACCCTTCATATTGTAAATGAAAGAAAAACTCCAAATATAGAACACAAAGGACTCACAGAACTAGCAGTGATCCCCATTTATTTCAGAGATAGTGAACAGTAAAACAACCCAGAATGTTCAAGGTCATCTGAAGCCAGAGAAACTCTGTCCTGTGTGGCAGCAGCTGTCCCTGTACGATGTTCCAGGCTCTCTGCCCCTTGGATGTATTTTCATTCCAAGGTCCCACCACCCCAGTCCTAGGCCACTGCTCTACCAACAGGAGCTTCTCCTGAGCTGCAGGCACCGTGGTTAATAAAAGAGGTTAGAACTCGGAAAAGCTGCCCCAGACCACACGTCAGAAACCAAGACATGTTTATAGTGCCTCTCAGTGTCTGCCCACAGCTCCACACCATAGAAGGGAAGGCAGTTTCTTACCCCTTAAAGGGCACAGGTCTTCCAGATATGAAGAAGGGACATCCCTGCTACTGCAGCTTACTTGAACTGCCTCCAAACTCCAAAGGAATGATGGAAACATGCCCCCACATTTCCTGTTCCAACCCAATGCTTGGAGAGTCAAAGCGCTGTCCTCAGTAATATAGCCTTCAGCCCTTAGCATCTTCCGATGATCCTGAAGAGATGATAATCCAAGGGAAAG